ACAGACCCTTAGCCATGCTAGCAAAGAAGAGAGAGAACTCAAATTACTAGCATACTGGATGAAAAAGGCAATATCACAACAGACACTTCAGAAATACAGAAGATAATCAAAAATTATTTTGAATCCTTATACTCCAATAAATTAGAAGATAGTGAAGGCATAGATAAATTTCTTAAGTCATATGATCTGCCCAGATTGAGTCAGGAAGATATAGACAACCTAAACAGACCAATATCAATTGAGGAAATAGAAGAAACCATCAAAAGACTACCAACTAAGAAAAGCCCAGGACCATATGGGTATACAGCAGAGTTTTACAAAACCTTTAAAGAGGAACTAATACCAATACTTTTCAAGCTACTTCAGGAAATAGAAAAAGAGGGAGAGCTTCCAAATTCATTCTACGCGGCCAACATCACCCTGATACCTAAACCAGACAAAGACACTTCAAAGAAAGAAAACTACAGACCAATATCTCTAATGAATCTAGATGCAAAAATCCTCAATAAAATTCTGGCGAATCGGATACAAAAACATATCAAAAAAATTGTGCACCATGATCAAGTAGGATTCATTCCTGTGATGCAAGGCTGGTTCAATATACGGAAATCAATAAATGTTATTCACCACATCAATAGACTTAAAAATAAGAACCATATGATCATCTCGATAGATGCGGAAAAAGCATTCTATATGTTCAAAACAGAAAGCATTCTATATGTTCATCCTTTATGTTCAAAACTCTAGAAAAACTAGGGATAACAGGAACATACCTCAATATTGTAAAAGCAATCTATGCTAAGCCTCAGGCTAGCATCATTCTGAATGGAGAAAAATTGAAGGCATTCCCTCTAAAATCTGGAACAAGACAGGGATGCCCTCTCTCACCACTTCTGTTCAACATATAGTTCTCGAAACACTGGCCAGAGCAATTAGACAGATGAAAGAAATTAAAGGCATAAAAATAGGAAAAGAAGAACTTATATTATCACTATTTGCAGATGATATGATTCTATACCTAGCAGACCCAAAAGGCTCTACAAAGAAACTATTAGAGCTAATAAATGAATTCAGCAAAGTGGCAGGATATAAAATCAACACGCATAAATCAAAGGCATTCCTGTATATCAGCGACAAATCCTCTGAAATGGAAATGAGGACAACCACTCCATTCCCAATATCCTCAAAAAAAATAAAATACTTGGGAATCAACCTAACAAAAGAGGTGAAAGACTTATACAATGAAAACTACAGAACCCTAAAGAGAGAAATAGAAGAAGATCTTAGAAGATGGAAAAATATACCCTGTTCATGGATAGGCAGAACTAACATCATCAAAATGGCGATATTACCAAAAGTTCTCTATAGGTTTAATGCAATGCCAATCAAAATCCCAACGGCATTTCTTGTGGAAATAGAGAAAGCAATCATGAAATTCATATGGAAAAATAAACGACCCAGAATAGCAAAAACAATGCTAAGCAGGAAGTGTGAATCAGGCGGTATAGCGATACCAGACTTCAAACTATACTACAGAGCAATAGTAACAAAAACAGCATGGTACTGGTACCAAAACAGGCGGGTGGACCAATGGTACAGAATAGAGGACACAGAAACCAATCCACAAAACTACAACTATCTTATATTTGATAAAGGGGCTAAAAGCATGCAATGGAGGAAGGATAGCATCTTCAACAAATGGTGCTGGGAAAACTGGAAATCCATATGCAACAAAATGAAACTGAATCCCTTTCTCTCGCCATGCACAAAAGTTAATTCAAAATGGATCAAGGAGCTTGATATCAAATCAGAGACACGCCGTCTGATAGAAGAAAAAGTTGGCTACGATCTACATACTGTGGGGTCGGGCTCCAAATTCCTCAATAGGACACCCATAGCACAAATGTTAATAACTAGAATCAACAAATGGGACTTACTCAAACTAAAAAGGTTTTTCTCAACAAAAGAAACAATAAGAGAGGTAAATAGGGAGCCTACATCCTGGGAACAAATCTTTACTCCTCACACTTCAGATAGAGCCCTAATATCCAGAGTATACAAAGAACTCAAAAAATTAGACAATAAGAGAACAAACAACCCAATCAAAAAATGGGCCAAGGACCTGAACAGACACTTCTCAGAGGAGGACATACAATCAATCAACAAATACATGAAAAAATGCTCACCATCTCTAGCAGTCAGAGAAATGCAAATCAAAACCACCCTAAGATACCATCTCACTCCAGTAAGATTGGCAGCCATTATGAAGTCAAACAACAACAAGTGCTGGTGAGGATGTGGGGAAAAGGGTACACTTGTACATTGCTGGTGGGACTGCAAATTGGTGCAGCCAATTTGGAAAGCAGTATGGAGATTTCTTGGAAAGCTAGGAATGGAACCACCATTTGACCCAGCTATTCCCCTTCTCGGTCTATTCCCTAAAGACCTAAAAAGAGCATGCTACAGGGACACTGCTACATGGATGTTCATAGCAGCACAATTCACAATAGCAAGACTGTGGAACCAACCTAGATGCCCTTCATATAGACGAATGGATTAAAAAAAATGTGGCATTTATACACAATGGAGTATTACTCTGCATTAAAAAATGACAAAATCATAGAATTTGCAGGGAAATGGATGGCATTAGAGCAGATTATGCTAAGTGAAGCTAGCCAATCCCTAAAAAACAAATGCCAAATGTCTTCTTTGATATAAGGAGAGTAACTAAGAACAGAGTAGGGTTGAAGAGCATGAGAAGAAGATTAACATTAAACAGGGATGAGAGGTGGGAGGGAAAGGGAGAGAGAAGGGAAATTGCATGGAAATGGAAGTAGACCCTCAGGGTTATACAAAAGTACATACAAGAGGAAGTGAGGGGAAAGGGAAAAATAATACAAGGGGGACAAATGAATGACAGTAGAGGGGGCAGAGAGAGAAGAGGGGAGGGGAGGGGAGGGGGATAGTAGAGGATAGGAAAGGCAGTGGAGCACAACAGACACTAATATGGCAATATGTAAATCAATGGATGTGTAACTGATGTGATTCTGCAATCTGTATATGGGGTAAAAATGGGAGCTCATAACCCACTTGAATCAAAGGGTGAAATATGATATATCAAGAACTATGTAATGTTTTGAATAACCAACAATAAAAAATTAAAAAAATAAAATAAAATAAAATAAAAAGAAATTGGGCCCAAAAATGAAAGTTGAGATCTTATTTCATTTTGGCTTCAGGACCCTCTGGCTTATATTTTATATTTAGTTAAGACACAGGTCTTTCAACACATAATTATTAAATGATTATTTTTATCAGTTAAGTTTCTTTGGTGCAGTCAACCAGGAACAAAATAATAAAAAAAGAACTAATGATAATGGTACAACAACAAAATAGAAAGAAAAGTGGAAGCAGGCAGGTTCCCGAGATGAGAAGCACTTACATTCTGAGAATCTAGCAGTGGAAAGGACAACCCTTCCTGGCTCCTGACATGCTTTATCCTGCCACCTGCTTCTTAATTTTCAGTTTCCCAGGAAACAAGGGATTGGACTCACTGGAGTTATTTCCCAAGCTGTGACAGGAAACAGGGGAAAATTTACTGACAGTCCTACAACGATTTCATGCACTGGGCAGGGGCCAGACACCAAAGAAAGATCAAGGATCTCTTACCAACAGAAGGGAGAAGCATGGATGTTGGGCCATCAAAAGTTTCAGATGCCTCCCACTCCTCCTTCGAATCAGGTGGATGCGTATGTATTGGTGACAGGCACAGACATGCCCCTGCTCTCAGGGAGCATACAGTCTAGTTAGTGAGAAAGCATAGCAGGGTATGGTAGGTGGGAGAGAGGAATGGGGAGTGACTGCCGGTGGTATAAGGTTCCTTTTGGGATGGTGAAAATATTATGGAATTAGTGGTAATAAATGAATGACTTTTTGAATGTATAATCACTGAATTATAAATTTTGGAGGGTAAACTTTATGGAAGGTGAATAGTATCTTAATAAAGTAGTTAATTAAGAATGAAAACAAACGTAACAACCATCACAATAGAAAGGAGGGTATGACAAATACTGTCAGTTGGCTACTTACGCCCATTTTCAGTCTCATTTTTCCTTGACTATTTTTATTACACAGTCTGTCAAACTGAAGCATTCATTTTCCACACTCTCTTACAGCTAGAAATGGTGAAGCAACATATTTTTGTCCAGCGTGTACAAGCAGAAGTCTGCTAGAGGTTTCAGAAAAATAACTTGCTTTTTCTGATAAAGGGGACAGATGTACCTGGCACTATAATTTCCCCTTTCTTCCTGCTTGGGGCATGATGTCTGGAGGTACAATATCCATGTTGTTGTGACTATGAGAACAAAACAGCAAATAAAAATAGTGGAGGAGAAGGAATGAGCCAGGCTCAGGACTTCACATCTTTGAAGGATCCTTGTTATTTGTAAGCAACTGTTAGTGAGGTTTTTAGCTACTTGCAGCTGGATACATTTCTAACTGATACACAGGGAAATGTGTTTAAACTATGGAGTCTGGGGGTGTCTGGGGTGGACGCTGAGGAAGCAAGTGCAGTATAAATAGGAATTATCTAAATGGCACATGGGGGTTGGAGGAAAGGACGATCACTCCAGATGGTCAAAGAGTCAGAATATCTGTGCCAATTTCCTTCATGATGTATATGACCTGGGCCAGGCTAAAATATCTGAGGCTTCATGTTCTTTAAACTTTGGGAAACTGTGTGTGTGTGTGTGTGTGTGTGTGTGTGTTTAATAATATCTATTCAAAGAAAATCCCTCCATTACGGCCTGATAGAATTCAATTCCTCTCCAACTCTTCCAGGAATCCTATTATTCTTCCTGTTTTTTAATCTCCTTCTCTACCTTCACCCAGTCTACTTGCAATCTCAAGTTCCTCTCTTTTTAAAAAGAAAAATCCTCTGCCAGCAGCTGCATTGTTTTTTGTTCCCCCTTGGAAACTGCACTCCACCTTTTTGTATTTACATCATCTCCCAGTAAGTCTATCAGTTCTGGCTGTTGGACAGTTACTCCATCAGGTACTACCACTGGTCTGATGAGGTCCATGGAGAGGTAGAAGATGGCTTCAACCAGGGTAGGAATTTTGACCATTTTGTTCACCACTGTGTGTCCAGTACCCACAGTGGTACAAGCATATGACTTTTGTAGAGGAAACATGTTAATGCCTTCTTAAAAAAAAAAAACAAATGAACTTTTCCTTCTTATTTGATTTTTTAGTAGCTATATAATTTTTGATAACTTCCTTCTTGAAACTCACTGATCTTTTGTGTTTTATTGCATAATCATTTTCTTCTTCTCTTTTTATCTTTTTACTACAGAGAATTATATGTCATTGTAGGAAAACATAATAATAGTACAGGCCCCATTATGAGTGAAACTCATGAACTCATGGCCAATTTGATTTCATCTGAATCTCCACTCAGTCCCTGATCAGGCTAATTTGAAGATATCAGAGGCATGAGGTCATTTCACCCACAAGCATTTTAGTGTGTGTTGCTAAAAGGAAATACATCTTTTTTTTTAAAAAAAAGCATAAACGTAATGCTATCATTAGACATAAAAATGAATAACAAGCCTTGAATATCTCCAAATTCATTCTTAACTTGTTTTTATTCTTGACCCCTTTGTTTAATGGGGGCGAGGGATGGATAACTTCCTGGATGGGCAAACTAAATTCTTAGGAAACTCTTTTACTTTGGCCAATAATCAAACTGATACTTTGATCTTTAGTTGTCTGACACCCATGCCTACCTCTCGATCAATTTTGAGAGTAAGAGTGCTGCTCAGCCCCATCAGCAGAATGTAAATATTATTTAGGAACACTCAGGAAAATGCCAGATCGATGAGTTGAAGAGTTGAAAGAGATCACTCTGGGGAGGGGAGAAGGCTTAGTGGGTGGGGGAGAAAAGCAACAATTTTTTCTTTGATTTAAGCCTATTAATGATATATGACTCTTTAAGATCTATACATATTATATGTTGATGAAAAAACTTTAAGAAAATAATGAAAATATATCATATCAAAACACACTAACACTTAACCCAAAAGTTACCCCTGCAACCTGTTGCACCCTGCTGAGGAGTACCCCATTCCACAAGACATCTGGGAGTCCTGCTCCCCTCTTCTTGCCCTTCCCTCGCAGATCCAGTGATGCACATGTCCTCTGCAACATGTCCCGTGGGCATCGCCACCCTGCATCCCCATTGCTCCTTGACTGCTTCCTGTCCTCCATCATCTCTCACCTGGATCATGACCTGTCATGATGGGCTGTTTTGTGTCCCTAAATTCCTATGGTGAATTCCTAATCCCCTGTACCTCTGAGTGTGACAGTGTTTGGAATAGGGCTTCAAAGGATGAATTAAGGTAAAATGAGGTCATAAGATTGGACCCTAATCCAAATGACAGGTGTCTTTAGCGTGGGCTCTCTCTCCTCCAGCAAGGAGGTCCACAGAACAGGGTAGAGGAGAGTGTGGCTGCAGAGTCGCTAATCAAGACCTCCGGAGACCAAGCAGGAAGCAGGTCTGATTTTATTGAGCAGTTACCATCTATATACACTCAGGCAGTAGCTAAGCAGATTACAGGCAGCCACCAATGCAATTTCTGCTAATTTTCCTTGCAGCGACCAATCGAGGAGTGGGCAGTGGAGCAAGCACAGGGACTGCAACACATGGCCTCATGCCCAGGGCTGTGCCTATTGGGTAAGCAGCCTGCTGCTCGTGTGCCTGGCTTGAGGGGAGTGGCCTGCCACTCAGACTTCCTTAACGTATACCATGTATGCAATACTCCATGCACTTGTTCCCACAGTCTTTGAAAGAAGAGGCAATGATACAGACATGCACACAGAGGGAAGCTGATATGAAGGCAGGGGAATGGCCACCTACTAGCCAAGGAGAAAGGCCTTAGAAGAAACACCCCTACCAACCTCATGACCTCAGATTTCCAGTCTCTAGAAACAATGAGAAAATAAATTCTGTAGTTTGAACCACTCAGTTTATGATACTTCATTACAACAGCCATAACAAGGTAATTCACCACCTTCGGCCTTCCTGAGAATAATCCAGTTTGCTTCCAAAATAGCGTTAAGGAAGACTAAAGAAAATGTACATATAATCAAATTAAAATCCTTAGGTGACTCCCCATTGCTACTAAATAAAATCTTACTATGAACGATCAAGTCCCTCCCTTATGTCCTCTCATCTGATACTCCTGATACCTAAGTGGTGGCCATAGTGAATTTCTTACATCTGCCAAAGTGCCACCCTTGTTCAAGCTTCACTATCTACAGAGGTGGATCTTCCTTGCTCAGAATACCTTCTTCTCTCCTACAATTATACAATATATGACTCTTTAAGATCTACATATATTATGTGTTGATTAAAAAAAAAAAACAATGAAAATATATCGTATCAAAACACACTAACACTTAACCCAAAAGTCACCCCTGCAACCTATGGAACCACTGTGGAACTTCTACCCTTTTTCAAGTGTCAGGGAAGCCCCATTTCCTTTAGGAAACCTTTCTTAGCCCATTCTCCAGATATAATTGCCTTTTTGCTTTGTGTTCACTTTGTACTGTATACAGAATTCTAGTCTAAATTTGCAGTACTTATACTGCCATTATTTTGTGGTTTATTCATCTAATGCTTAAAGGCAGAGACGATATTGTGTATGCATGCTCAGGACCTAACACAATACCTGGTATATAGTAGGTGCTGAAAGAAATGATGATCAAGTGACTGATCAAATGATTGAATCTATGAAACTGAAATAATTATGTTTGTGCAGCATAACTAAAAAGTGTGTTTTCAGAAAATATATGTGGGGGTTTTAAATGATCTACATGTCTATATCTATATAATTATTTTAGAACTTGAAAAGGTGAACTTAAATTGCAATTTATTACTTGATCTTGAGTTTGTATGCTCAGAGTGAGTTATGTTCGGCCCTTTAAATTGAGTGGTTTCTTCTTAAAACATGAAAATCTATTCCTGGAAAAGGTATTATAGGTGACCTATCCAACCACTTTTTTTTATAGTTCAATGTACTTAAATGTTTAAATTAAAATAATAATAGTATATATTTGTGGAGTACAGTGTGATATTTCAACAGATGCATATGATTGTGTTACGATCAGAACAGGGCAATTGACTTATTTGTCACCACATATACAAATAATTTCTTGCATCTGCTTATAAGACAGACAAGAGGTGATAATGCTCACTGTCATACAGTCACTACTACCAGAATGATGCACTTATTCTACTTATCCTGCCTCTCGTGAAGACAGAAGTCCTGCAATCAGAATGGTTTGAAGAAAAGGGAATTTGGATGTAATTCAACAAAGGAACAAAACAAAACAAAACCCCACTAGATATACATTTATAGCAGTCATAGAGTCTGGCTCTTAACATTCTTTCTAAATAAAATTTTGTGAATGAACTTCATCCAATATTGATATATCCTTTGGCATTGGGGCATTTTAGAATATTTATTTGTTATTGCAAAAAATTGCATTTGAATAATGTATAACAGCATGTATATTCAAATTGCCTTTGAATAATGTATAACCAGAGAGGTTTTCCTTATTCATTTATTGTCTTTCTTTCAAGGAACTACATACACTTAGGTTAGCTATGGCATGTTGCACAAGTGCTTTTTCACTTAACTGAACATTTTGGACACCAACTACTGATTAGAGCCTATGAGAATAGCACTTAATAAGTAGGGAAATATCTTGACAGTTTAACCAGTTTTTATCATTTTCCTACATGTAAGCACAACTTGGAAGCATTACATGAAAAAGGAAGAATGGTGAACGTGTTGTGGAGGGATCCTTGTTTTACCCTAAATTGCATGTACTCAGGGAATTCAGACATTTTCAGGTTTCAGAGGAGTGTGTAAGGCTTGGAGTCCAAAGCCTTCTGTGTCATATGACAAGCACAATCACAGATTGTAAGGGTAAGTTGTCACTCTTCTGCTTCCAGAATACAATGCTCTACTTGGTGAGGGATGCAGGGAATATAGCATGGCTTTCCTGTGTTGGGGCTTCAGGAGGCTCTGTTCTTTGCACATGTAGGGAGTGGTTAGAGTGGCCTGGGTCTGACAGCATAGGTGGGTGGGAGTTGTCTTCAAGAATCATCATGAACAGCAGGCCCTCATAGGGCAAAGATCTGAGCAGATTATTCATGAACTCATGGCAGACACTCCAAAGAGATTCCCACAAATTACTAGATGTGATGGTAAATCTGGATTTCAACTTGATTGAATTAAGAGATGCCTAGGATTAAGAGACTTCTGGGTGTGCCAATGACAGTGTTTCCAGGGATGATTGGCATGTGGGACAGCAAACTGAGCATGGAGACCTGCCCTGAATGTGGGTGGCTGGGGACCCGAATTAAACAAAAGAAAAAAGAAAGAGAAGGTTCTGAGAATGAAATTGGATTCTTCTGGAGCAGATGCACTTTTTGCTGCTGTCATTCTCTGAGGACATTTAACTCTACCTCCTTTACTCTTCCAACATGAACTTGATTAGCAATTCTCCATGGATTTTTCATGCCTTCAGTCTTGGACTAGAGCTGAATAGGTCCTTCTTGTTCAGAGGCTCCAGTTTCTTGAATCGAACAGATGCTAGTTCCTCCTGCTTTCTAATATGCAGATGGCCATTGTGGGACTATCTGGGTTCTGATCATGTAAGTCTATCTAATAAAATTACTTTTATAATTTTACATATACATATTCTGTTGGTTCTGTTCATCTGAAAACCCTGACTAATATAGTGGGTAAGACTTCAAGGAGTGCAGAAGGTCCTAATTGGACAGTGGGATGGAACTCATTCAATTATTAACATATCCATGCCAGACGTTTTTCTTGGGACTAGAGATGCACGATAAAACAAAGATCCCTTTCATTGTGGAGCATATGCAAAGTGTATGTGGGAATGAGAAAAAAAAATATGTTATATAAGTGATTATCTAAAATGTTAGGGGAAATACATACTTTAAGATAAAAAAGAACAGAATTGCTGGGAATGGTGGTGCATGCCTGTATTCCCAGCGGTTTGGGAGGCTGAGGCAGGAGGAATGTAATTCAAAGACTACCTCAGCAAATTAGTGAGGCCCTAAGCAACTTAGTGAGACCCTGTCTCTAAATAAAAAAGAGCTGGGAATGTTTCTCAGTGGCTAAGCAACCCTGGGTTCAATCCCAAGTACAAACAAAACCAAACAAAACCAGAATAAGTGGATTAGGAATGTAGGTGATCAGGGAAAATGGTTGTCTGATTCCTTAAGAAGCTGATATTTCAATAAAGAATTGAAGGAGGTAAGGGAATTAGCCAAGCAGTACTCAAGGAAAGTGTGTTCAGTCAGAAGATATAGCTAGAGCAATGGTCCGAAGGTAGAAATGTAGCTCCAAGGAAACCAAGGTGGCTTGGGTAAGCAAGGAGGAGAGTAGTTCAGAAATATATTCTGGGGCCAGATCACACGGGCCTTGTAGGCCTTTGTAAAGACTTGTACTCCGAGTGAAGTAGACACATGAAGTTTTGAGTAAGAAATTAAATGGTTACATCTAAGATTCTCTTGGGCTGCCATGCAATCTGAAAGACCAGTTTAGAAAATATTGCAGTAATGTAGGTGAAAACTAGGACCAGATAGTAGTAATGGAAATAATGAGAAGTGGTTAGATTCTGAATATATTTTGCAAGTAAAGCCAACAGGATAAGTTGGGTTAGAGAGGAGGTGTCAGAGGTGGCTGACCTGAGCAATGAGAAGGATAGGGTTGATATAAAAGAAGTAAGAAATTAAGGGCCTCAGGAGTTGGTTTTGACATATTGAGTTTAAGATGTCTATTGGTCATCCAGGTGGAAATGTGAAGACTAATGGTATCATTTAATGTGACATGATTACTGTAAGTGATGATTTCTGGGGAAACCAGATTTCATCATAACATGACCTTGATTTAGTGAGTTTTGAGGGGTTATTTGTGTAAATAGCCGTTGTGACTTATCAGAAGTTGGATAAGTCCATAACAGTTTGATAAGCAGTTGGATTTTCAGCACTGGGCAATGCCATTCCTTTCTGCAATCTAAAGAAATTGTGAAAACATGAATGATTCTAAGCAATACTAATTTGGGGTCCAATTTTATTTTAATAAAAGTAATTATCTCTTTGTATGCTTATTTCACTTGCTT